GCTCTCTGCTATGGCTTGGGAAAGCAGTAGAAGATGGCCCAGGTCCTTGGGCCCCTGCCCCAGAGTGGGATACCCAGAGGAAACTTCTAGCTCCTGGCTTCGGATTGGCGCAGCTCTGGCCATTGCAGCCATCTGGGAGTGAACCATCAGATGGAAGACCTCTCTCTCTCTCTCTCTCTTTTCCTTTGTAACTCTGACTTCCAAATAAATAAATAAATCTTTAAAAAAAAAGCCTTCATTTTATCAGCAACTTGAATAATATTGGCTTGACTTTTGGACCTGTCTCTGGTATTACATCAATATCTCCTTTCAGGTTTATATTAAGACTTTTGCATTTTTATTCTGTTTGTCTCAAAAGTTTTATAAGAAAAGGTAGTACAAATCATCACTTCAAGGTAAACTCCATTTCATTTTATCTTAAAGTCAGAAGTTCAGAATTTGAACAGAAAATCTCTTGCTACCTGAAAAAACTCTCTCAAAGGAGACATTTGAGAATTCTCTCAATTTTATCAACATTTCCCCTCTCTCTCTCTCTCTCTCTCTCTCTCTCTCTCTCTCTCTCTCTCTTTTTACTAGCCAAAATCAAAAGCATGCTTCATGGCTCACACTTTTTTGAAAGACTTTCCCTAATGGTTTTTTCTATTTACAGGTATCTGTTGGACTCCCTGGCATTTGTTGTTAGTCTCATTTTTTGGGCATGAGTTTAACTTTCCCTTGTTAGGTTTTATCTCTGTGAGAGGTTGTCTTTATGTTTCTTGTTTCTCTCAGTGTACACTCACTTGGATATTCAACTTCCCAAGAACGTCCACCAGATCTTTGTTCTCCTTCAGGGAAAATGCTTGTAGTCTGTTTTTCTTTTTGCAGTAAATAGAGTTGGAAGGTCTATAATGTAGGTAAAGAAGTAAGTATCATAATATGTAAGGAACTAATAGAGAATTTAGTCTCTATTAGATTACCCCATGTTTCACAGGGACATCGCTGTTTTATGGGAACAAACCAGTAGACTTATTTCTATAATAAAGACATGGGTTGCTGACTGCTTTATCTGAGTCAGCATGCACCAACGTAGGAGCTATCAGGAGGGAGAGAATCTGGGGCTGGCACACACCTCGTATTATTTTTTAGCGAAATGTTGCTGTCAATTAGGTGAAAATGAGAACTCAAGCCTGTAAACCATAAAAGTCCACCTGTTGAGTCTGACACCTGCTGAGCCTGGCATTCACTTGTGGTCTACATGCTGCTGGCATAATGGACTATTCCTGTTTCCAGATCACAGAGTTTTCATAGCCTACATCAACCAGTTGACCTAAGCAGGTGATGATGAGTGTGGCTGCTCTGTTGCTTTGGTTGGATCAAGGAGAGCACTGGGCTGTGACTTGCCCGTGTTCCCAGAGCAGTATTCAATCCTTGTAAGACTCTGTGATCTGTGATTTTCTAACCTCATTTTCCTAGACATCCAAAAGAATTTAGGACAATCATATATTTGAGATGGTGATACCTGATTTTTGTCACCCTTGTTGAATTTATAAGCATTTGAGTCACTTCCTATTTAAAGACACTTTACTAAGTGTGAAAGTCAGGGTGTTTACCAAGTGGTGTGCATCAGGGCTTTCCAGTGTTTTTGAATGTGAAGATACTACTTTAAATGTTGTGTTTCCTCCATCAGTGTATTATTTGTGTATAAACTGACAAAAACATCTATGTATTTATTAAAACTTTTTAATAATTTGTATTTTGAAAATAATGATCTATATATAATAGTTGGTATGTGTGGGAACATAGTATATAATATTGTTAGTCTTCAGAAACTGGTATACATGGAAACTGATCCTTGAATCCATTTCTGCAAATTCATGATCATTTAAGGTCCAAACACTGACTCTAGTGTCTTCAAGTTGAAGAAGGCATGAGTAACTCTACAGATATAGTCAGTACATGCAGTGATGTGTGTTGGATTTTAAGCTTTTACAATCAAACTACAGTTATAAAATTGCTGTCTAATTTAGAGGCAATATCAGATTTAGAGTTTCAATATCAGAATCTTGATGTTATCTAAAGAAAAACGTTCCTAGTTAAGATTAAATGATTTAAAATGATTCTATCTTTTAGATTCTTTCTACTCAAAATTATGCCACATTTTACTTTTGTTTTCTACATGACATTACCACGTCATATTTGAACCATGGTATTTTTCTTGGAACTTTGGATTATTTATTTATTTTGGTGGTTGAGATTAAAAATATGTCTAACTTCGAACATTTATAATATCCCCTTGTTTCTTGCTTACTCTGCCTATTGCATTGGATCCAGTTCATTCTACTTTTTGTAGACACTGTTTTTGTAGCCTGTGCTTTCTTTTGTTTTAAAAACTGATTTCTTCATATGTCTGATAAATACTTGTCATTCAGGGATTTCTTTTCGCTGGATTTCTTTGTTAATTGAATCTTCGTTAATCATGCATATTCTCTCATTTTCGTATGTTTTCTCCTATAATATAAACTAATTTCTTTCTAGATCTGATAAATAGCTGTCATTTTTGGATTTCTTTTCATTGGATTCCTGTGTTAATTGCGTCTTTTTACATCATGTATCTTCATTGGGCTGGGATATAGCTTCAAGAAGCTTCTGAAGAATGAATCCATGGGAGGTAAATATCTTTGGCAGTTTGGGTATCAAACTCAGCTTCAAAATAATTTTCCATCAGACTATAAATGGCAATATGTCATTGTTTTCCAGTGTTTCTGATGAGATCTGTGTTATCAGCCTGATTACAGTTTTGAATATAGGGTTGCCAGTAAAATATAAGATGCCAGTTAAAACTCAACTTATCATAGTCAACACATAATTTTTAGTATTAGTGTATCTCATATAATGTGTAATATTTCAGATGTACTTACACAAATAAATGAATCATTGTTTATCAGATCTAATTGTGAGTTCTGTATTTTTATTTGCTAAATCTGGCAACCATATCTGAAGGTCAACCACTTCTCCCCCTTGAAATAACTTTATGATCTTATTACTCTTTCTGTTTTGAAATTTCTTAAGGATATGTGTAAATATGATTTTTTAAAAAATTCATGCTGCTCAGTTCTTGTTGAATCTTATGATCCCTTTCAGTTCTGTGAAACTTTCTTCTACTATTTCTTTAATAATTTTCTTACCCCATTATATTTCTTTTCTAGAATCTTGCTTAGCTTGATGATGGACCTCCTAAATTCAGTCTTTATAGGTCTAGTTTTTTTTTAATACTATTTTCCATATCTGTGTTTTTGTTTTATGTTCTGGAAATTTACTTGGTCTTATTTTCCAAAGTTTTTGGTAATCAAAATGTCAATTTCAGAGAATTCTTTGTTATTTTTTTCCCATCTTTTCAGTGTCTTATCTTTGGTTAATAGATGTACCTGTTCTCATATTTCTTCAAGGATAAATTAGCTTTCTTGTTTGTTTAAATTCTCATCCATTTCCTGAATCATTTCTATTTCCTTTGAGGTCAATTCTGATTGTTTATCTCAATCTTTTCTTTCAGGCTGCTATTTTACTCTCATATTTTGAGATCATTGTTTATCCACATTTAAGAATAAAGGACAAGGTAAATGATTCTAGGTGATGAATAAGGTTTCCTCTGTAATGTACTTGTTCCCTAAATAGAAAGTATAACAATAATCTCTACATGTTCAAGTAGATCTTACAAGGCTCTGATGAGTGTGAGTTCTTGGACTGAGATGTTGGAATCTTCTATATGGCAAAATGAGTAGAGTTATAGGATCTCAGTGCTAATGACCTAGTTCTCCATAGTCGTTTTATTTATATACTTAGAGAAGAGACATATTTTTCTTTTGGGATTGTAAATGTGTTGCCGCTTACTTTCAGAAGGGTGCACTTGTCCTCTCGTATGGTTGTCCTGTAGAAAGACTTTTGTTTGATTTTCTCATTTATTAGACTTCCATTCTCTTTTGTACACTGCCTCCTATTGACTCTAAGTGGAATGTAATTTCTTCTTGCAACTATTGTGGTTCGAAAATATTTAGCTTTGTTCTTTCTTTTTCTTAACTTATTGAAATTTATTGACATCATGAGTGTCAATCAATGAGTCTCATTTTCTTCATTGTTATTGGATTTACTCTTCAAAGCATTTTTAGGGAGTATTGGGAGAGAGGGATGACAAATGCATGTCCTTAGCTTATAGTCTTGAACCAGAATATCTTCTTTTTTATCCACTTCTTACCATTTCCTCCAAAGTATTCTTTTAATGAAAATAATTTGTATCTGCATGATGGGTTTCTGGTTATAAACTATAGTTAAATAAACTTTCATTTACTCCTCAGAAGTTGAAATGCATGGTTTTATAAAAATAAATGTCTTAAAATAATTTCATGTTTTGAAATAATGAAATGATTCAGTATATTTGAATATGCCTAGTACACTACAAAATACATAATCTCTACTCAACAAATATTTTGTCTAATTCTTTGTAATACTTTATTTTCAGGAGATAGCGATCAAGTAAATTTCTGTAATATTGGTATAAAGACATTGGGATTTGTTTCATTTTAAAAAGAGATGAAAAATAGCTATCTCTACTTTGTTATTAGAAATAAAAATTAACTTTAAAATCCTCATAAAACATTTGGAGATCAGAAATAAAACTCTCCATGAAGCATGACATTTTTTATTATACTACAGCAAACATTGTTCAACTTTTATACAGTGGTAAACTATAGGTTTACTAAACTATAAAGTTATTAAATAAAAAATGCTACATGACTGTGATTTATAGCTGAGATCCTTGAAGATCAGAGGAGTTAATAAGTTTTCCCAGTATTACACAGTAAGTAAGTTGGTAACCCAGGATTCAAACTAAGATCTTCTGATTTCAAATCATTGCCCTTTCCTCCATAGCACAAGGTTATGAGCTTTTAAAAGGAGATACAATGCATGATAAGATTGAGGTTGTTCTACCATATAAATAGAAATAACTATTAATATTTAATTTGCAGTGAAACTCTATGCTTTAACAAGCCAAGTTATCGATGGTGAAATGCAGTTCTATGCAAGAGCCAAACATTTCTACCAAGAAGTACCAGCCACTGAAGAGGGTATGATGGGAAATTTCATTGAACTGTCCAACCCAGATATCCAGGCCTCTCGAGAATTTCTAAGGAAATTTGTTGGGGTGAGTTATCCAACTGCTGCTTGATGAGAAGACAAAGTTCTTACAAACATTGAGCTCACATGCATCTGTGTAATCACTTAAGTCAGGTTAAAGCCATATGGCTCAGCCAAGAGTTCAACCTAAAAGCCTGTTTTAAGATGTTCAGAAAGGATGGACCACGTCAAACCACTGGTTTATCCCACTTGACATTTTACCCTCCTAGCATCGGCTAGTCTTACATGCTTCAGGGGAAGATGAACTAGCAGTGCTTATATTACCATTTAGGGATTAAGAAGATGTCTCTTTTAGAGTCTCATAGATAAACAGTTGACACCCAGATGACTGATGAGCGACCATGCCCTTTGGGATCTTGAATGATTTATTGATTCCCTGTAATACAAATTAGATGTAGTAAGGAAATGCTTGCTTATGTTCACTATAAAAATGATAGAAATGGTAGAGTCCCTTTATATTATTTAATACATCGCTCAGATTTTGCCTTGAAAGAATGTGATCCTTTGGTGTTGGTGTTGGATGAATGAACCCTCACTTATTACTTTCATGTCATGTGGGAACAGATAGTAGAGTATAGGGACTGAAAACTTTCACTTCAAAGTCATCATTACACTTCTACTTAATGTGTAGGCAAAATTGGGCTTGTTACTCAAATGCAGTAAGACTCAATTTTCTCACCTGTGACTAGGACAGAGTGGCATAAAAGTTACATCATAGGAGAATGTGAAAATCAAAGAGATAATTCATGTTGAGTATCTGCTCTAATGAGCAAAATTACTACCCAATGAATCTAATTTATTGCTACTACTACTCATAATAAGTTTTCCTATAAGAAACTTATTCAGTTGTTGGGATAGGCTTAACTCACATAATAAAGCTGCTGGTGGTCCTACTGAAAACATAAAGTCCTAACTGGCAAAGAGTTTATTCCAATCCATTGTTAAGTAGGTTGTTTTAAAATTGGAGCTTAATTTATTCAGATAAAGGTACATTATAAATATTGGGATTTGGGGTTAGCCTGTCAGCCTGTTTAGAAGTATACTATTTAGAATATCCCTAGTGTTTTAGTAAGCTTCACTTCACATCCAAATTCCTTGGAGCACCCAGTGCCTGAATCTGTAGTCTGACAATTGAGAAAATATGATCAGGTTGGGATATCCACAGAGGCTGAAGGGTCTGGATCTTTGGGGGCTCCAGCAGTGTTTACAGGTCAGGTCCTCCTGGAGTATTTCTACATCAGTGTTGCTGACTAATTTCACGGAAAGCTCAAACTGACATTCGCTCTGCTACACACTTTTGAAGTGTTGTTTCATTTGCTCTTCAAAATATTTATTGGAGCTAAGTACTGCTATTAGCTCTGTTTTTATGGTTGTGGAAACTGAGGCTTGGAGAGGTCAAATAAGTTGTCAAGATCCCACATTTGGCAAGAGACAGAGCTGAGACTTAAGCCTAGCCAGGTCTGTCTGACACCAAACTCCTGCTATTAACCATGACATGTTTTTTCCATTTGTCTCATGAAGCAGAAAAATCCCTGCCTTGTGCGTGCCTATGTGTGCGTGTGTGTGTGTGTGTGTGTGCACCATAGACCTCAACTCTCCTTCAGTCTGGCTCGGAGCAACCCCTCCTACTTGCCTCATGGTGAGACCGACTTTGATCCCAAAGCATTTCAGAAGCTTAGTTAGTAATCCAGCTGTCTTGTCACTCTGTGTGGAATGCCAAGCTGACCACAGGGATGCTGGTCAGACAGAGCTCGTAAGCACGCCCACAGGCCAAGGAAAGGAAGCAGCCCTGTGCTTGCATATTTATGTTGGAAAAGATGCTGCCTGCTCCTTTCAAACAAACGTAAGGAATGCTTCTGAGCAGACAAGGCTCACTTGTGAAGCTGTGACCTCTAACTAAGAACAAACACAGTCTTTTTAAAGAAATGACATTTTGGTTCTTTGACCTTAATAATCTACTAAATTAGTATCCAGGTCAAGAAACAAGGAGTTAAAGAATATGGATATCTGACATGATTTATTCTTGTGTCAATTGGGAAAAGGCAGGTAGTTTAAAGTTTTACCTTCTTGCCAACACCTAGTAACATAGGACAGTGGGAAAAGGTATTTAAACTAGTTGCAAATGTGTGTATTTTAGTAAATAAGCAAATGATACCAAGATGATGTCAGTGGCATAGCAAATAATTTCCTTCGGTTTTAGCAATTCATAAATAGTAATCAATATTTGAAGGTATTTATTTTAGGTTTTTCTCAAAGATTGGATGACTGAAAAATCTGGGCCTATCTTGCCAAATTTCATGGTTTTTAAATAGTGGCATTAAATTATTTTATTTCAGTCTTCAACTCCACTGAATGGGTTTTAATATTGTTCAAAACAAAATAACAGAATAAAATCTAAAATGAAGTTATAGTAATATTTTATATGAACACAAGATTTTATAAATGAATGTGAAGATGAAAAAAATCTCATTTTGGAATCACGCTGGTCACATTAATGTAAGGGCATTAGATTTCAACATAATCACAGCTTCAGCAATCCTGGTATCCAAAAGGCCATAGCTGTTGTCCCTGGGATCAGTCTTTTTTTCTTTTTTTTTCAGATTTTTTTATTCTATGTAAAAGGCAGAGTTATGGGGGGAGAGAGAGAGAGAGAGAAAGAGAGAGAGAAAGAGAAAGTTCTTCCATCCACTGATTCACCCCACAAATGGTTGCAATGGCCAGAGCCGAGCCAGACTGAAGCCAGGTGAGGTGCCAAGGGCTTTTTCTGGGTCTCCCACGTGGGTGCAGGGGCCCAAGGACTTTGTCCATTTTCCAATGCCTTTCCAGGTGCATTAGCAAGGAGCTGGATTGGAAGTGGAGCAGCAGGGAATCGAACTGACAGCCATATGGGATGCCGGTGTCACAGGCAGCAGCTTAACCCACTGTGTCACAGACTGACCCAGAGGGATAAGTCTTTAAATACCCCTTCTTAGAGGAGCTGTAGGTGAATGAGAGACAGGGGAAAATCGCTGGTTCCAGGATATGGAAGACACTGCCAATTTGTAGAATTAAATGGAATGGAGGGAATCAGGCTATAGTGGAGAGAGGCTACAAGTACATAACATTAAGTGAAAGATTTCTTCTGTGTTTTCAAATAACAGTGATTTCAAGAATAACTATAGGCCGGTGCCGCGGCTCACTAGGCTAATCCTCCGCCTTGCGGGGCTGGCACACCGGGTTCTAGTCCCGGTCGGGGCACCGGATTCTGTCCCAGTTGCCCCTCTTCCAGGCCAGCTCTCTGCTGTGGCCAGGGAGTGCAGTGGAGGATGGCCCAAGTGCTTGGGCCCTGCACCCCATGGGAGACCAGGAGAAGCACCTGGCTCCTGCCATCCAATTAGGGTGGTGCGCCGGCCGCGGCGGCCATTGGAGGTGAACCAACGGTAAAGGAAGACCTTTCTCTCTGTCTCTCTCTCTCACTGTCCACTCTGCCTGTCAAAATAAATAAATAAATAAATAAAGTTAAAAAAAGAATAACTATAGACAATTATCACATTTTTTAAACTGGTGAAAAATACTAACTAGACAGAATATTCAAGGAAGTTCTATTTAAAATATTTCACCTTTCTGGACCTCATTTTCTTTGTCTGAAGAGCAGGGAATTAGATATCAGTGACTTAAAAATGCCAGTTTTTTTCTGGGACTTTTTCTTAGGATTTGTTTTTATTTGTTTGAGAGTCAGAGACAGAATCCTTCATCTGCTGTGTCACTCCCCCAATGCTTGGACTGGGGCCAAGGCTGGGATCCAGGAACACAATCCAGGTCTCCCACATGGGTGACACGGACCCAGTGACTGACCCATCACTGCTGTCTCCCCAGGTCTGCATTGGTGGGAAGCTGGAATTGGTGGGAGCCAGGAATGAAACTGAGGCATTCCCATGTGGGACAAGGGTATCTTCAGTGCTGAGCTAAATGTCTTCTTTCTTATTGAGGTTCCTTAAGGGCTTCCTTAAAGAATGATGGAAAGGTTGTGTGAGTGAGAGCCTGCCTCATTTTAACCAAAACAGCTTCAAATTTATTTATTCATTGAGAAAAAGGAGTTCAGCTGTTGTGACCTTCTTGAAGTCATCTGGCATAGATCTCTATGGTCTCTTTGCTTTATTGTTCCATGTTTCTACTTCTAAAACCACTTCCTATACTAACGAGAATAATAGGAGGCTTTTGGGGCCAAGAAATGATAAAAAGAACTTGGTAGGGGAGGGGCCAATATGGCCTTAGAGCAATAAGGTGTTCTGAATCACGCATGGCAAAATAGATAGTTAATAAGGAAAGGGGATAGAAGCCAGTGACAGAATTTCACACAGAGAAGCCCAGGAGTCCAACAGAGGCTGAGTGGGTCCATGCTGAGGGAGCAAAAAGTGGCATGGCAGAGAAGCTGAACAGGGAGACTGACCCCTGCCCCCACGTGGACCAAATGAGACATGAGGTTGTGAGTCCACAGAGCTGTAGAGAGCAGTGGGTAGTAGAACCTGGTGAACTGTGTTTGAAGTTCCAAGTGGGACAAATAGGGAAACAAACAGAAGGTTGGGTACACCCCTGTCATCTATGTCTCCCCTCTCCCCCTAACCAGACCTGCAACTGGCTGGGAGAAGCCCTATTTTTTGTTTACATCTTTGAATGTAAGCAGGGGGCTACTGCATTTGCCACCCGGGCACACACCTGTCAATTGTGGGGCCACTTCACAACACCCCCATCCAGGAACAAGGATCACAACATTTCAGAGTAATTTCCACCCCCACCATGAAACCTGTACAAAAAGAAGTCCTAAATATCGAAATCCCGAGCTCGTTTCATGCAGCAGTGAGAAGTGAGCCGGCCCCACTAGGCAGAGCTTAATGCAATAGAGCTCTCTATCTCTATCCAGAAGTAAGCAGGACTCCTGGAGCCTGGGCTGCATGCTTCCACTTGTAACACACAGACACATGGCAGAGGGAAATCTCACCACAAGCACCAAGACACATATTAAAGAGA